AAGTTCAAATAAGTCAAAAAATAGATGAATAAATATGGAGTCAAAATTTTCATTATTCTGCATATTCTGCATTCTGCATTAAAGCTGGAGTATACAATACTGTAGTTTTCAGTCAAATGTAATAGATAAAACTTACTGAAAAGCTATGTAAAATAAACAAAAACTAACAGATGTTATCCCTGTTTCAATAAAGCTTTAAACCCTTCCCTTTAGCAGATGAGTAAACTGCACTTGACAAAGACCTACAACATACTTAAATTTCTCAAGAACAACAAAAAAACAAAACAAAAGAAAATTTCAAAATTCATTTTAAAAAATAGATAACTGAGTACTACTTGTGTGTCAGTCTGATGACTCCATGACTATGGCAGCCTTCCTGTAACATCTCTGCTGTCTGCCAAGATACGTTAACCTCAGTATTTGGTCCTGCATAACCGGCTATGGGCTGAGAAAAGCCTTTTAGTTTTTGCTGAAATGCTTTTCCGCATCTTATATTTCTCTTGCAACATGTTGCAATAGTTGGACTGAAATGGAACACATTTTGGCACACTGTGAAAAAGATGTTTTACATAAAGCAGGTGCAGCTTTGTTGACTGCAAAGCTTTTTTTTTCTGCCATTCATATCTCTGAGTTGCATGTTCTTTATAAAGACTACCAATACTTACATGATACTTACACATAATAGACATCTTTTTGAGACATATAGTGGCCAATGTAGAATGAAAAAACATCGACTATCTTTGACCTATTTCTCTGATGTAGCTGTTTATTTGTTATAATGTTGACTTTTTATAATGTTTGTTTATATTTTCACTTCCCACAAAAGCAGGGGAAAATTATGTAAAACAGATTAGTCATATGTTGAAGACATAAGATTTTAGAAGGAAATTTTTGCTTTGCTGTTGCTAGCGAACCTTCAACAACTGTTTGGACTGAAGCTGGAATGCTCTACAACATGCCTTTTTTATGTTCTTTTCAGAGCACATTGGAGTTACCACCATAAGCTTATTTGTTCTAGATATTGCTCAGTTTTATTTGGTTTTCTTTGTGTTTATTTCAAGATGCCAACTTTCAGCACTCGACATAAACAACAGTGACCTCCATGCCCACCTCTTCTTGAGGTGAAAAATACTATGCTACTAGATAGGCTAATTTTAACAAGTTATATGTCGTTGCCATCTAGGATTGGGAATGGATGAAAAGACAGTTTAACTCTTAAAGTAAGAAAATATAGTCATAATACCACACCATAACTATCATACTGACATCAATATAATAGCTATCCTATACAATTGCTTAATATAATATTTTGATTTTCTACATTGATACTGCTATTGTACAGGAAAGGTGAACTAAATTACTTGTGTATCAGTTCTGCATTGCATGGAACAATTGCTTATTGTTCAAATTAGAAAACTTTTCAAGCTGAGCAGTTTGACAATTTTTTTTCTTCCAGTTTGCCACTTTTCCTAAAGAAGTACTCAGTAGCACTGGCACACCTCTGTACCAGTGGTAAATATACCACTGGTAAATATACTCAGTAAATATATTATGACCAAGTAATATTTGCCCTGTTTCTTGCAGTGTGATTGGGTTGCATGACCAACTATATCTGCTGTTATCTTTCTTTTATGGAAAGAAGCAAGCGATAATAGTGGCCAGTCCAATAGCTTCACTATTAATGTAGCAACTTGACAGCTCTTCTTAATGGCCAAGCATGCACCATCTGGGATCTATTGCACTACATCTTTTAAAAATCTATTACCTCTTTACCAAGATACAAGCGATAGTTTCAGTGTTGTAGTGTTGTTGCTAATTATTGTTGTGTTACTTGGCAATTTTGTGCTAAGCTACAAACTTTATCATAGGTATATAAATACCTAAAACCCTTACGCTTTCTGTAATATGCTACAAAGGTAGCAGTATGACCACTACATGCAGAACTACAACCAAAGACTGTACTGTTCATTCAAGCATGAGCTTGAGCTGCATAAGACTTAGTTTAAAAATTAAGACGTGGAAGTGTAGCCTGATTCTTATCTGTTGGTAATGGTTGACTGGGACAGCTGATGAAATTTAGGAAAATACTACTCATTTGTGGTAAAGTAACTACTTTTTAACTGTTATCGGATTCTGAAAGATATATTAAGCCCATGTTTCAGAGCAAAGAATAAAAGCTGAGTTAGCGGGATCATACCTTTAGTATTACATTAATGCCTACTGCTTGCCGTGGCAGTATAAATTTGTGCATTACCATCCTATCATTAATTTACCAAACTAAGGTCAAGTTCAATTGCTGCTGAATTTAAATGTTCAATATCATTACCAGCCTAGAAATGCTGATGCAACTTGTTTGTTCATGAGTGGTGTAAAATGGCTTTTATAACAGGAAATTATTATTCGGTGGCAGTTTTTCAAGTTCTCCAATAAGTGTGGTCTAATTTTTACAGTCTCCTGAAATAAAACCTTGAAATTGTTCTAGTCTAGATAACTGCACAGAGCTTTTGTTTGCTTGTGTGTTTTATTTTTCTTCATTTTCTTGTTGTCATGGCTACCTGGAGTTGTTTGTTATATGGGGAAAAAAAATCAAAATATTTTTATTCCCTGTATTTTACACTGTCGTACAAGTCAACTGAAAATTCATTTTACTGCTTCCTTTTTTGATCTCTGGCACTTCACACAAATTCAAGAAAGTCATTATAGTAGCTATGCCAAGTTAAGCATATTTAAATCTGAACTTCAGCTTCTATTGTAAAATCTCTGTTCTTGAAAAACTGGTTGAGCAGAATGCTAATAGTGCTATTTAATGAAACCCTGGTAAAATAAATAAAAAAATAATAATAATAATAAAACATAATAGTTTAGCAGGAATAGACTTTATTATAATCTTTATTATAACCTTTATTATAAACTAACAAACTAGCAAATCCCTAAAACAAACAAATCAGTTGAATATGGAAAAAAAAAAAAAAGAAGTTTTAAAAAAGAGAAAAAAAAAATGTAATAAAACCAATAGTTTTGTCCATGCATTTCTTTGGGGCCTTCTGTGAATCAATTTACTACATACACACTAAATAACACCTTATTCAGTGACCGTACAGTCACTGTACTAATACAGTAGTATTTTTCAGAAAATATGTTTAAAAAGTGCCCTTTTTTACCTGTAGCTGTGATGTATATGTCATTTTTAGTGGCTATGTTATATTTATCAGTTGTATGTGGATGTTTTGAATGATGCCTTTGAAAGTCAAAAAATATATATTTTATACATTTGTGTTTAGCTACCAGAATGATTCCTTTAGACTTTGATGTCCAAATCTATTAGATATTTAAATCTCTTTCTCATCTTCCTTCTATGTTCACATCTACATTTGGAATTCAGCACCACTATGATTCCTTTCCTTTCTGCCAGAAGGCCAAATCCCATACTCTTCATCTATATACAAAGTTCTGTAATCTTGGAAAACCCGGAATATCACAGAACCATGTAAACTAAAAGGCACAGTCCACAACAAGCCACTGCTTGGAGAAGTTCCCATTGGAGCAGGTTGCTCAGGGTCTTCTGGTGGACTTGACTTTCTCCTAGGAAAAAGATCCCACAGCTTCTCTGAGCAACTTGTTCCAATGTTTGATTATAGTAAAGAATATCTTCTGTATAGTGAGCCAGAATTTGCCACATTTTGGTTTGTGTCCGTTGCCTCTCAGCCTTCCACTGTCCACCTTGAGAAGAGTATGCCCTTCCATTAGCTAGTTGTAGATGAAAGTAAGGGCTCTCTTAGTCTTCTTAAGGTTGGAAAACCAAACCAAACAAAAAAACAACACAAACATACACAAACACAGAAATACAGTTCTTTTATTCTTCCATTGTATGTCACAGACTCTAACTTCTTACCCACTTTGATGGCCTTCTTTTGGAGTCCACTATGGAAATGGTTTTTTGTGTGTATGTGTACTGGGGAGCACAAAACTGTATGCAGTCCTCCGTATATAGTGCCACAAGTGCTATACAGAGGAGAATACTCACTTCCATCCACCTACTGGCTAGATGATTGTTAATATAGCTAGCCATATATGACATACTGTAACCAGACTTAAGAACATTATATCTGGATAGAACTAAAGATGTGAGTCAGGCAAAAAAGACTCATTCAGTGATTTTAAAAAACAGATTTTTCTCAGTTTTGAAAGTTGTAGGATGAAATAGGAAATATCTGGCAGAAAGCTGCAGGTTACATGAGCACACTATCTAAAATATACATACTAAGCTAGGAGTAGATTGAATGCTACACAAGGGAAGCTTGGGCTAAAAAACAAGGAGAGAGAATAACATGGAGTAGAAAACTGAAATTGATGGAAGCTGGGAACTTGAGGTCCATGCCCTCCTAGATTTTTCGATCATAGTTTTCCCTTGAACTTTCTATATCCATAACTTTGAGAAATCATAGAGAAAACAGATGTAATATATTTCTAGGGGGTTGTTAAGAGGCTTTTGTATATGTTATGTTACGCAGCATTCAAAACGAGCTGCAGTTTTATAAGCTCACAGAGCTTCATTGTTTAGGTAAATTCATTTGTAAGACCTAATGTAGGTGTGAATAAACAATTATCAGCTGCCAAATGACACAGCTTGTACCTCAACAGCTTGAGGAGAAGTCACTTGGCAACACAGTCATGTGAGGACCTGGACTTGAATTCATCTCTCTCTAATATTAAATTGTATGGGAGAAAAGGAAACATTACTATACAGTAACAGTAGGGCTGCTCTGCGTGGAGCCAGCAGCCAAGGATAAGAACCCTACAGGCAGGAATAGTCTCACTAACAAGGGCACTTATTGTTCCATGGTATTCAGACTAGGCAAATAGAACAGATCCCATGCCATTACAGGATCAGACAATACCCAGTAATCACGAAACAAGTCTGAAATAAAGGGGCAAGTCCAAGGCTAACTCACAAGTCCATTTAGCATCTCAAACCTATCAAGGGATAGGGCTTGGTAAGTCTGGACTCAAAGTTACCAACAGCACCTCTCAAGCAAGTAGTGGGCTCCTGGGTCTGAACTTCTGAGCAACGCAGAAGAAGAGTGGGTAGAGGTGCCACTGGCAAGGCAGTTCAGACCTATTGGTGCACTCAAGGCCCTGAGAGTAAACACTTGCAGAAGATGACTCAGTTCATCTAAGGTGTTCATCCATTCACACTTGGAAATGCATTACTCTTTTTACTGAATGTGGAGGGGATCAAGATGAGTTAACTTCTAATTTAGGAATCTCACCCAAGTCTGTGAAATAAACTTGAATGTATGATGCACCTGAAGGAAAAAAAAATTCATGAAGCAAAATGAAGGAAGAAAACGAGACTGAAGGAATCCAACTACATGGCAAAATTAGATGTTTAAGTTACCATATAAAACAGAAAACAGCCACTGAGAGAAGGATGAATTGTAGCATCATCTTCTTCACAAAGACAGTTCTTTCCTGAGTATGGTCAGAGAGAAGTTTCTAGATTTCAGTATTTAGAATTTAGAATTCTGATTTTAAGATAATTCTGAAGTTTGGGGTCAGGAAGTTAGACAAATGAGAGAGCATCTGCAGACTAGAGAACAATTAAGGTCACAGTTGTTGTTAATTATATCAATGTTCTTCCTAGTTACGCTAGTTCAGGACATATTTTCCCTAACAACAAAAGAAAAAAAGGAAGAAAGGAAGAAAGGAAGAAAGAAAGATCATAGTTTCTCTTTTGTGTCCTTTTTAAAGAATGGTATTTTAGATAATGATTTGTGATATTTTTGTTTGCTTGCTTCTGGAACAGAAAATAATGTTTTATTGCATAATTTTTATTGCATCCTTGCATCATATTCAGCAAGCCATGTTCATCAAGATGAGATTCCAAAATCGAGTAAATAATAATTTGTGTATAAAAATTCTCAACTCTAAAATATACAAAACTGAAATGGCTTTCCTAGCTAGTTATGAAAATCAAGAATATGAGTTCTAGGGAAGTTCATCACCAGCCCCATTGCCACCTCTTTAGCACCTCAAGATACATAAATTTAGATACATGTATCTGTATGTGTAAGAATATCTGTATGATAACTTTTTTGTTATCATACATTTTTTTTGTGTGTAGCAGATCCAGCATCTCCAAATAGGGAACATTTATTTTGCAATATCCTTCACACACAGTGTTACTCACCCATCAATACTTCAAACTCTGTCATTCCTGCTGAGTTGTTAATACCTTATTGATAAGCTTGGCAACACTGGTATCCCCCTATCCATTTCATCATTCCCTATCCCTATTAAATCAAGCTTAATATTTGATGCCAAGCAGTCTAGTTCTGCCATTTTACTCTCTTTAACATTCTAGAACTGGTGTAACATAATGTGTCAATTTGTTGGGTTTTTTTGTCCACTACATAAGCCAGTCAGTTAACATTGCACAAAGACTGATTTGCCTTGCATATTTTTTGTGGTTGTGCAGCTTGTTTTCATCCCAGCCTTTTCAGAAGCCCACTGGATGTTGATTACTTTACCCTGATATCAATTTCTCCCCCTTTTCCCCTTCCTCCTCCCCTCAAAAAGGTGAGTTTCTATAACTGTTGGCTCAATGCCAGAAGGTTGGCCCTGTTCTAGTTAAAAAACAGGCCATCTTCCCTGTAAAACAAGCCATCTTCCCAGAGTCTTCAGGTCCTGCATGGATAATGAATGTTAAAAAGATCACTGGCATGAGATCTGGCTTTCTTGCTAGGGAAGCTGAATTTCATGCCTAAAATGCTCCTCCTGCATTCTTCTATGCTATTGCTACCAGTGTGGATTAGGAGAAATTGTTCTTCTCTTTCATTTCACCATAGCCTTATTCAGTGACTTTTAGTATCACAAACTCAGCAGTTGTTGTGACTGCAACCAAATTACGATTACCAGCACAAGCCTCTTCTTGCCCTTAATGATTCCGTCTGCTGCAGGTGCATCCTCTGAGTCAGTGAACAGATAAGCCGGAAAGTGGATCTTGTCAGAGAGCTTAGATTTCTCCTTCCCAGCTGGATCACCTCTTTTCCTGAGATCATCCTTCTTAGCAGTGCTAGAGCTCAGCAGAACAAGGAGGGGCTACTCTGTGATCTCCCTGTTGACCTTATCTGCAAAATTTTTTTATTTCTTATATGATGCAGTTAATCATTATTATCTCGAGAGTGAAACTGTTCTTACAGGGTCAGGAGTTCTTTCAATTCACTTTCAAAATATACACTCTCTCTAGCAAGAAATCAAAACTCCTGCAGTGCAAGAAGTAGACTGATAAAACTAGCCCCCGGTGTGCTTCTGGTCATCTCCTTGCATCCTCAGCTTAAAACACGTTTAGTTTTTGCAAGCTTACACCAGTGTAGCTTCTCCTTTGATTAAAAGGTTAAGATCACAGTCTCCTCCTACCACACTGTATCACTTAACAAAAAAAGAAGCCCTGGTCTAGCTGAGTGGTTATATATCAGGTTCAAATACACCTAAAACTGGGGAGAAGAGTGCAAAGAAAACTGAACTTCATGCTGTAACAGATTCCATCCCCAATGTAAATTAACCCTTTTACTGGACTTTCTTGGTTGCTCAGCAGCTGCCTCTTAATGCTTTCAGGCCAAATGAAGCTCTGCATCCTCATCAGGATCCACAAGGATCACCTTGACAAACCAATCTTTTCCATACTCACAAGCAACAAAAAACTAACCAAACACTGGCTCAGACAGAGAATGAAACACCACCAGCAAACTAACATCCAAACCTGAAACTTACCATGGTTACTGTCTTCTAGGAGTCATCATCAATTCTTCCACCAGTTCTTCCCATAAGAAACTGTCATGAACACTTTATTGTGCTCCATCTCCTATTCACTACTCTTTTGAATTGCTAAGTGAAAACTGAATGTCAGGAAAAAAAAAATGCAGCTATAAATTTAAATCTTATCCTGAACAAGATTTTTAGTATTTCACTCTCATTACCAAAGCAATAAAACCTAACTAAGTCATATTAAGTACTACCAACTCTGGCCTAAAGGATATTTGGAGCAGAAAGTAATGGGAACTGACATAAATAAGCTAGACTTTCAAGTACAGGAGTTCAACTGAATAGTAGCTGTAAAGGCTTTTCACAGAGGAGTGTGCAATGCCAAAATTTGTAGTGATAACTTTTCATTTTGGTTTGTGCTGTACTTCCTCTTTTTCCAGTCTAGCCAGTTTCACTCCTCATTAGGTATCATGTCTTTGACTCATCTCAGACACAATACTCATAATATTTCTACTTACATCTTCCCACTCAAGTCCTTCTGTTACTGAATTCATAGTCCTGCTTCTGTGAGTATCTATCTGCTCAGTAGGATTAAGCAATATCATTCTATCAAAAGTTCATATGATCAGCCGTGCAGAAGAGAGAGTATAAGGCCTCATTATTTTATAATAAAAACAAAAACAAACAACAACAACAAAACAGAAACAAATAAACAAACAAGAATAAGTTACACACTACTGGAGACATTAAAATCCCAGTAAAATGCAGTGATTGAAGAGAAAAAGTTGGGAGAAGGGATAAGAAGAAATTTGCTTCGGGAGCAGAGAGTAAGGGAGCCAGAAATCTGAAACATGGCAGCAGAACTTATTTCAAGAGATTTAGAATGCTGCAGGAAATCGAACAACGGATTTCAATGTTATCTGTATATTTATGTTGTCCACGCATGCTAACTAAAAAAGAAGCAAGCTACTACAAGTAGATCTACATTCAGTGTGCATGTTTACTGGAAAAATGTGTAAGGTTCCCAATTATTTTTTTAAAAAAGAACACATTAAAATTTACTTAATAGATAAAGTTTATCAGCTTCTGTCCTGGATCCTGAGCAGCAAACTTCAAAGTTCAATGTCAGATTTCCTCTTACCATGGAATCAGAAACATAAAGTAATATGAAGCAAAATAACAAATATTGCAAGAAAATGAAATTAATGGTCCATTTTTTTTCATTTTATGTTTAAATATATTTAAATGTCAGCTGTGGGATATTTAGCACCTTTCAAGTATTCTCACCTATGATTATTTCATTTTCAAATATCTCCTTATAGTATTATTTCCTGATCCAATTTATGCTCTTATGTTACTTAGTTTAAAACCTGCATAAGGTTCTGTCTGTTTGAAAATAAGATGTATCAGAATCCCTACTACTTCAGCACTGCATTGATCTGCATTTGGATATTTCATATTTGGTAAATTGTTGCAGTATTTCAGTGAAAATTAACTTGAAATATAATGAAGATTCAGATAGTATCACAGAATCACAGAATGGTTGGGATTGGAAGGGATCTTGAGAGATCATCTAATCTAAGCTCCCTGCTCAAACACTAGAGCATGTGGCAAAGGGTAGCATCCAAGTGGGTTTTGAATAGGGCTAAAAAATATGGATAATTCAAGTCTGTGCTTTAAGTATACTTCTTAAAATAAAAGCAAGCTTCTTTAGCTGCAAGTGAGCAGGACACTGAAAAAATATATGAGAAAGTGTATGGCTGACTCAGAATCTATATGTAAGATCATGATCTGTAAGATCATGACTGCATGACTCATGTATATTGACAACTCCTACTGTAAGAAGATATTCTTGTCAAAAGCTTTTTTTTTAAGTGATTTTTTTGTTTCTACTCAATGCAATTCACTATCATGCATCACTTAGTAAAATAAGAGACCTGCTCAAATTAGTATTCAAAGGGACTTTGCTTGTGCAAACAACACCAGTTATCATATTTCAGGTCAAGACCAATGCTACTTAATAAATAAAGTCCATAATCAAACTAATAATAATAATAATAATAAAGTGAAGAGTCCCAAACTGACTATTAATCCTATACCATAGGCACACCAAGTTCTGGTGTCTGAATCTGAGGATGAATACCATTTTGAGACCCCTATATTTTAAAAGCACTTATTAATCAAGAATATAAATTAATTAAGCTAAATAAAGAGGGAGATTTTTTTTTTATTTTGACCATCTACTTGCTAATTTTTATTTTTTTTTGTACTAGATTCTGTAAGTATATATCCTCACATACAGTTCCTTCTTGTAAACTCTTCATGACCTCCAACTACCATTGTCAGCAATGATTCTTATGAAGTGTTTATGATACATTCATTTTTAAAGAAACTGTAGTAAGTAGGGGTGTATAAGTAGACACATAACCCAGATGCTTAGTATGTGCATATCACAGAATCACAGAACCACAGAATGGCTGAGGTTGGAAGGGACCTCCAGAGATCATCAGTCCAACCCCCCTGCATAAGTAGGGACACCTAGAGCGTGAGGCACAGGGTGGCATCCAGGCGGGTTTGGAAGATCACCAGAGAGGGAGACCCCCCAGCCTCTCTGGGCAGCCTGTTCCAGGGCTCTGTCCCCCGCACAGGAAATAAGTTCTTCCTCATATGGAGGGGGAACTTCCTGTGTTTCAACTTGCACCTGTTACCCCTCATCCTGTCACCGGCCACCATGGCGAAGAGCCTGTCCCCATCCTCCCTACAATCACCCGTCAGGTACACATGTACCGAATGGATATGTTCTGAAGTATATCTACCTCTCTAATATGTATTACTAAACAGACAAGAGGGTTTGAATTTAAACAGAAAGGAATTAAATTGCTTTTGCTCTGGAAATCACCCCTTATTGCTCAAACATACAAGATATTCCACTACCCAGCATGTGTTAGAAAACGAACAAGCAGTATTTTATACAAAGTGTTTGTTTTATTCACAGGGCACACTGGAAGTAAATTACCTTCGGTGTTTGCAATTCCTTAAGACTCATTATTTTCCCCCACTATTCTTTATTATGCATTAAACTGCTTTTTCACCATTGTCTAGCACAGGAAACAAAGTAGCACCAGAACACCAATGAAAGAATCAGAAAAAATGCTTGCAGAAATGTATTGTATTTTCAAAGGGCTTTTTTGTTGTTTGTTTTTCTTTTAAAGTACCTTATCTTCTCATCCAGAATATGGTTTGATACTGAAAAACACACAGTTCTGTATTTCTTAATTCTTTGTGCCCATTTCATCAGTGAAAAATAAGTAGAACATGTTCTATACGAAAGGCTTTCATTACCTTTCCTATGAGCTTCATTGTCCTTCTAAGTGGTGTTTTATCTTAAACTAATGAAAGAAGAACAGTGCCAGTACGGTATGCCACTATTCTACTATTTTTCCATCTTTATCTTTCCTTATATTATTGTCTTACCCGCGGTTTTGGGCAGGTTAGAGATTTAAGAAATGTTTTTGTTCTCATTTTCTTCTCATCTTCAAGATATCTCAGCTTTATTACTTGCAATATTTCATCTTTATAAGATCTTGAAACTATTCACTCATTTCTGATTGACTAATCATCTACAGCTGCTATCACTTGTCCTTCTGTGAAAATATCGTTCATTTTCCTGGTTATGTTTAAGGATGTGATAGTTCCAGTCCTGAAATTTTATCTCTTATCAAAAACTAATTCAAACAATAAGATACCACACACTTTTTTTTTCCAGAGCTTTACGACTACAATATGCTATTTTGTATGTGATATATCTGTATATATATAGAAAACTGTACTGAGAAATTCAAGAAATAAGTTATTTATGTTTCGGTTCTTAATAAATTTCAATTCTGTGGCTCAAATGTATAAGTAAAATAAAGACAAAAACTAGCTAAAACTAGAGCATGTAGATGTAGATATAGTACTAAGGAAACTAGGCTCCACTGCTTGTACAGAATTTACAATTGTGTATGGAGTATTGCAAAGCTAGCTTTAACCGAGTATGTTGAGGAGAGAGAGATACCCTGTTCTAAATAAGCGACTGAAAGAGAATGATATGCAAAATTTAATTTAATAACAGATCAAAAAAATACAGCTTTCCTTCCCAAAGACAAGGAACTATAACATCAGGAGAAAAAAAAAAGAGTGGAATATTGAAGCATTTCTCTTTTAAAGGAAAGCATACAAGGATGGACTTAGTGCTTCTTTTATGGGTTATGTATGCATAAGGTATATGTGCTAGACTGGGCTTGTTAGGAATTTCTTAGCACTTTCTGAAGTTCAGTGGGTTTTTTTTCAAAAATAAGAAGGCACCATAAATAGACTGCTTAGGCTAGGGCAATTCTAAGAAATCTGAAATCAGAAAAGGTTTCTAGAGAATTTGAAGGAGAAATGGAAGAAAGGTTCATCTTGAATTTTAAGCTTTTTCAATTGGAAGTTATAGCTAGATTGAATTTTTGAAAATTTGATTCGGATTTAGTCTAAATGCCCACATAAATTTATTTTAGGTAGAAACATTCATCTCTGGATCAGTTCCCTTACTATATAGCACTGGGATTATAAGGAAAGATTCACAAAAGGGTTTGCAATGCATAACAAATTACAAATGCTTTACAGAATTGGTGGGAGGTATTGTCACTCAGGTAGTACTGAGAGGCTTGTAAAACCATCTGTCAAGATAAAATTACGAGGGAGGAAGTCATGAATAGCTGATCTTGTAACCACAAATGTGCTATTTATCTCTAACCTACTTTAGCAATAAAATAAACTAGATTTAGGAGATTCTGGAGATTATCACAAGTAAATAGGAATTTGAATTAAAGAATGGTTCTCTGTGGTGGGCATGATGATATCTGTGATTGAAAAGTAGTAATTAGTTTCATGTAGCCCCGATAAAGTTAAAGAGAGTTTGCAAAAAGTGATCACTGGAGTAGTATAGTGAAGAGAAAAAATCAACAGACAAGGAGATCTCCTTGTCTGGAGACTAAGGCCTGGCCTAATATCATCCAGGAACAGCATCAGGATCTAAGAAGCATCACCAGATCGAGTCTTCTCTTTGAGGATGTGGAAGATGCAATTCAGAGTCTCTTAGCTATAATATTGTAAAAGTCACAGAGTTAAACTAACATGCCCTGCAGTTGTCTAGAGAAAGAGACTCACACAATAATTGGAGCGTATATTATAGCAAACCAGCATACCCGTTTGGGCTTCTTTCACTCATCTTTTTAAAGAACCAGCTTCTAGGTACACCCAAAATATCCCTTCTGTCTGCTGACTCTATAAGCAACAACAGTCCTCATATGGTATGCAACAGGACAGCAATTCAGATTATGTATCTGGCCCTAGACAGACATGATAAAAGAGATGCCTTTGGAGAGATTCTGATTTGGGAGGCTTCCTAGCTTTTTCAGAGTAGAGGTATGAGTGTAGGTAGCATGCTGCAAGAAAAATCAGAATATACCATACACAACCAATGACAAAATAGAGAGAATGGTAATGTTTTGATAGTCTTCAGTTTCTAGGTTAGTATTAACTAGACAGCAAATACATCTGATTAGAGGCAGATGACATAGCAACTCCAACTGCACAGATTAAATAGTCAGTTCAGAGTTTCAAATCTTTTATGGTATGGAAAAAAAAATCTGAAGAGTCAAGATAAGGAAAGAATTTTAACTGTGAGGTATACAGTCATGTGACCTCAACAAAGTCAATGGCACATCATGTAGATTGTAGAGAAGCAATTCCAGCACATGACACAAAAGTTATTGAGCATGTTGGCCTAAACTGGATTCCATCTCAAAAAGTAATTGCGGAATAAAAAGTTTGTGGAATCTCCATCCTTGCAGATATTCAAAACAAGACTAGACAAGGCTCTGACCAACCTTATCTAGCTTTGAAGCTCAACATGCTTTAAACCAGGATGAATTACAGTGGTCCCTTGAAAATCAATCTTTTTTAGATTCTGAATTCACCTACTTCAAAACAGAGTGAATATGGGGACTGATAGAAAGAAATTAGTAAGATTAAGTGGATGCCTAATTTTTTGTAAGATGACACCATTTTCTTCACTAATGCAATTTGTTGCAGAGGAATTGTGTTTTAAGTCCGAAACGGAAAACAATGGTGAATCTTTTTCTTTTTGTTTTTCTTTTGTACAAACTTGCTGTTTTGTAGCACATTAAGATTTACATTATGAAGTGCTCAATTACAATCCCTTTTACCCACCCTACACATAGTTTTAGGCCCTTAAAAATGCATCATCTGAAATAAATGGTCAAGAGCAGGCTGAAAAATTGCTGCACATTTAAAATTGATAATGACATTATTGCCGGTAACAGCCTGTACAATACCTAAAATATGATCAGTACTTTAGGTAAGTGATAAAGAACACAGTGAAATCTGCTTGGCAGAAGTAAGATGAAACTACATTGTATAACTCTCTGTGAAAATAAAAATTATCCCTACAAGATGTATTGCAGGTGAAGATGATCTGAGCATTTCAGTGGCTACAGTTCTCTAGCGGTTGCATAATGAAATTTATACTGCCAGAAAACCATGACTTTGCACACCACACTGTCTAGTTAGACAGTTTCATAGTGACTCACACTGCTTTTTAGATTTTGCTTGATACATCTACAAAAGAGAAACTAGTTCTATCATAAGCCTTCTCTGTATACAGGTAGCAAAATGTAAAAACTATCCGTTTCACCTCAGCAGCGTGTATCTCAATACTGTTCATGCTGGACAAGCCTGAATATCTTTCCTTGAACAGTATTCACAAGATATTGTCTGCAGCTAATTTAAAGTTTCCACAAGCATCTTCCAGCTCAAATTGCAGCCTTATTCATAACTGAGTGAACACTAGCTTTATATCCCCTGTACCCTAGTTTTCATACAAAGCGAAACTCAAGTCAGCAGATCAGATGCAATGGCAGTCTCCAGCATTTAATCTAGACCCATTAAAGGACAAGAACCCTGAGCTATTTTGCGATACATCTATAGAAAATCAGTGCATCAGGAAAGCATAAATAAAGAACTTGAATGATCTAGGTTGACTCTTCCAAGAGTTCTTTAGTTATTAACTGGCTTCACTCACATCACCTCAAAAGAGCCATGATTGTAGTAATTCTCAGAGTCTAGTATGCTCTGACCAAGTTCTTTCTGATATGCCATGCATACAGAGAGTGAAAGGTATAATATAAAAGTTTATTTTTATATTTAGATATTTGATATTGCACAGATTTTTGATTTAGCAACATGATTCGTCAAGGTGCTAAAATTACATGTGTATACAGTTCAATCACAATAACAATGTGATTACCATTATCACTCTCTATATGGCAGCTCACCATCATGATGCTGGGCATCCCCAGTCACCTGGAAGGAATACATGGGTTGAAGTGTGTTCTAGCCCATTGCTCTCTTCAAAATTTCTTTGTTATTTGTTGAGATTTTATATGCTATATTGAGCTGGTCTCCTCATGCCTCATGGTGGTCTGACTAATCTAAGGAGTCATTCATAATTGTTTGATTAACTCAGGAAGAAAAGTTTACACTAGTTAATCCATTCTACAGATACATCTGCTTATCATCTAACACAAAGGTCATCCTCTGGTGCCCTATTTTTTGAGATAAAGTCAGTTCTCTGTACAACAGATGTGATTCATAAGTTACATCTTACATGATTTCTGAGCTTCAGGGGCATCTTTCTCTTTGTTCATCTCCTCTGAGCTTTCTTCCATGGTAGGGGTTTGTTGGTGAGAGTAATGTTAATGAAAGAACACATAAAGCAGTTTCAAGACGTGTAGGATATAAGTCCAAATGCCTTCATAACATCACATTTCTAGAAATAGAAGGTGAATTTTTGGAAAATCAAAATTTAAAATCGGACATCCCGAATATGAAAATCTTCTGATCTCTATTTATAAGTACTGGCACGTACACTCATGGACTGGTAACATCAATTCATGCTTAGTCCTGATCACACATCATAAATTCACCATATTGGCTGTTTGGTAGGAATATTTTTTTTCTATACCCTCCACCTCTCACATCTAGGAAAATAACATATATCACAGAACAAAACTCCAGTAGTGCTCCACTACTCCAGTAGTTTTGGTTAGCATTGTTTCTAGTGAGTGGCATTATCATCAAAGAAAACAGCCCATGATTCTTGTGTTAGGAGCCAAACTTGGAGATTTAGATGTCTAAAAAACTTGCCAGGCCCCAAATGTGTAAATTTGCATTATTTTATTTCCATGTTTAACTTGGCTTTTTAAATGAAAAGATATGTGATAATTTAATTTATATACATTCTAGCCATAGGGAACTCTTGTTCACTGGGAAGTTGCTGCTTTTTTCCCTCCCCTTGGGCACTCTCAGCAAGCTCTTGACTCCATGCAGCTGGCTTGCTGAGAGCTGAATAAACCCACACTGCAGTGCAGAGAGTTGAGTGGTTAGTTTTTATTTAAACAAAAGAATCATTATAGTGTTCTTACGCTAATAATTATTCCCTGAGAATCATTCCATGTGTGAGCCTTGTTACTCTGCTCAGTGCATATGGATAGACTATGTTCAGTTACATAAGGACTGAAGTCATTTACATATTCTAGTATTAGACCAGTATAACTGAAAACATAACCCAGAATCTTATCCTAGGAAAACATAATTATTGTTAAATAAAAAATGAATACTAGGCATGAACTTGCAAACGTGAAACCAGATCTTCAGGTACGATAAATCTGCACAGCTCTATTGAATTAAATTGACTTACATAAATTAACCTCACCTGAGAATTGTCCAAACTTCTGTTATAATTAGGAGGGTAATCTCAAGTTACCAGTGTGCACTGGAAGTAGTTCATTTATTTATTTTACAAAACTGTATGCAGACTTCCAAATAGACAGAATCACCTGTCTTTGAACATAGTACTGAACTGTGACTCTAAGATAATTTAAAATAAATGCAAGAAGAATTATTTAAATAGTCTACATGTTCAATTATTGTTACAAGAATAACCATATAGATGATACAACAAAGCTGTCCTTTTCTCTTTTACATTAGAATATTCTACCATGCAAAGATTGATTAAAAAAATATTTTTTGCATTAGCATGTGTGCTGAACACAGTAAAAATAAGAAGTGTCCTTTTTAAAATAAAGTTATATAAACAATGTTTGATGAAAACATTGTGACAGGCACATTATTATTAGAGGCTGTCGGAGAAACTAGTTTTCCTGAATTTAGTTTTAGAAACATATTCTGATTCTGATCTAGTGACCGGATTATAATAAAAATAAACTTAACAATGAGATTGCAATTTTTCTGTGACTATTTTCTGTAATCCTCTGCTTATGCATGATGATGCCAAAGAAGAAGGAGAAGAGCAGGACAACTTAAGAATTTATTTAAACTTGGAACAGGTTTATTGCTCTAGTAATGTTCAGCAAATGATCAGTCATAATGTTAGGGAACTATTAATGTAAAATATAGTATTTTTGATTTCTTGTCACTCTTTTATCTTCTTATACTACTCTAAAAGTGTAAGGTGATGCAAAAGGAAACAAAAGCTATGTACAATTTTCCTCTAAAGATTTTTTTATGGCCTTTTTGCAGTAAACATGGAATTGTCTGTGAGACTACATGAAGAAGGTGCACAACCATTAGAAGACTGATCAACAAATTATTTTTCCTGTTTCATAATCTTTAAAAATAGTCCATCCTTAACTATTCCTTTTCGTTCTGTTTAGATTAAATTACTTTGTAATACAGAAGCTAGTTAATAACATTTGATATCAGTAATTTGTGTAACTCTTCTTAAAAGCTATTATATACTACCTCCATTCTTTTGTTCAAAAATCCACTACTTAGTTATTTCTTTCATAAATTCGTATGTAACAGGTATTGCTCAAAACAGACAAATGCTTTGCAGATAGTAGAGTTCTCATTTAAGACTTTATTCCTTTCAATAAATGTTCAAAAAACCTCACAATTATTGCTTTCTAAGCCAACTGCAACCTCCTCACAGCAGGCCCCAGACTGCAAAAGGATAAAACACTATCTATTCTTCTTTTGCTGCTGTCTGTTCTGGATCTGCAGAAGATTCATAAAAGCCAGGAGACAAAACTCCCACCAAGAATTGCTAATAAAGGCAACTCCTGCAGTTAGCTACAAAGAGGTTCTACTCACATTTCTGAAAATCTGAAAAGAATGAGATGTCAGCAAAGAAAATACAGTGCTGGCATGCAGTCTGCAAACACCCATACAGATGAGGAAATTCTTGCTCAGAAGTTGCCACATTGTGCAGTAAATCCTTCTCCTAAAAGCTTCAGTTTAATCTCAAGACTTGTGTTTAACCAGCATCATATTTAGGGCTTCTACTACTTTTATGCAAACAAATGTGTACTCTTACGCAGATAGATGTATAGAGGGCTCAAGATAGTTTCCTACAGAGGTTAATATTTAATCTCACAGATTGAATGTTTTTTCTTTGTGTTACATCAGCCATGCTTCCTGAGAATGACATCCCTGAAACTCAGTGTGGTATCATCATCAATTCTGAGTGACTAACATCCTACCGTGTTTGAGCATCCTATGTCCAGAAATAGTGATTTATAAAGAATCCTGAAGCCTAATGTGATTTCAGTGTTAACCTCCATCAAAACAACCCAAAGAACAAGCAAAAAAGTAGGAAAATATCATAACTCTTTTAGAAGTTCCAGGATTTCTAAGCTGTTTCTCCTTTTTTTTTTTTTTTTTTTTTTTTTTCAATTAATTCCGTCAGTCTTTCTAGAGCACATTTACTTATTCACCCAGTATTATTTTTACCCTGAAAATTGTTTAACATCCATTCAGGGCCCCCAAGGTAGCATTCTTGAGATGCAAAATTAAGTCCAGAAACAATCTGTTACATTGTTAGGGCTATTTTATGCAGTTCCATTTTTATGTCTTGTTTTACACAAAACTTTAATGCAGTAATCTATTTGTTTATTAGAAGTGGTAACAAAGTGAGACAGATCATTACATTACTATTTTTGTCAATAAGATTTTACACTCTTTTAAGAAGTGGTTTTTTTTTTTTTTTAATTTAAACATGTTTACTTTAAGTTATCCAACCCATGTTGCTTGAGGTTATAATCATATGAAAGCTGAACCAGGTCCTTAAATGTTCTTTTCTATTACCTGGTTTTCAGATAACAGTGACAATGCTGGTCTCTTTCATGCAATTTTGTTGTTTCTTTCAAAAACATACTGTTCAGTTAACACATACGGCAAGTTTGAGATAATAATAAGGGCAAATTATCTGAAAAATGCACGTATTGCATTTGACCTCATATTATTTAAATATAATCATTATATCACCCTTCTAAAAGAAGAATGCAGCCCTTACAGACAGGATTCCTAAATACTGAGATGAAGGAAAAAAAAAAAAAAAAAAAAAAAAAAAAAAAAACAGAAACATCAACAGCAACAACAAACCCGCACATCTACAATTTTGCCTTTCTGTTTCAGTCTGACATCATGGCCACCTCCCTGACCCATGCAAAACCCTTCTCTCAGAAGATTTTGTCTCTGTCTTCTCCATTCCCTGCCACTGGATAGTGGAAGATAGCAACAAGATCCCCTTTTCAAGGCAGAAAAAAATCCAACATCTCTGTCTCCTCATTTTGCATGATCTTGAGGCAATTATCACTAGCTGAACATTACAAGGGAGCAAATAAGAAAAGGGGAGTACTCTGGGCATAAAAAAACCATCAAACCCTGGACAGCTTGTAGAGGAGCAAACTACCGATGGCTATGACAGACAGTTGTCATAATGTTAATCTGAAAGAAACAATCAGAATCAGGTAATCTTTACCCAATACTAACTGACAGAGTCTGGGTTAGCTCAGAGAGAGACATGGAAGAGAAAGACCTCAATAGTCTGCGAATGTTGATGTCAGAAATGGGATGCTATTATATAAATCACATATAACCTGAGCAAGCACAGGTATTAGGACCTGCGGGTTGAGATCCTCACTCTGGATAAGGGCCTGGGGTAGCATGGAGTACGTGACAGTATAGATCCACAAGTTGGTTTGTGAAGTCATGCTGAGTGCATCCCATTGTTGCTTCGGATAACTGGAAGATGAAGACTATGAGGAAAGAATAAGAGAGATGGTTCTCTTCAGGCTGGAGAGACTGATGAAGGATCTTAATAATTTGTATAAGTATGTGAAAAGAGGGTATAGAGAGGATGGGGCCAGACTTCTCAGCAATAGGACGAGTGGCAACAAGCACAAGCTGAAACACAGGAAATTCCATCTGAACATGAGGAAAAGCATATTTACTGTGAAGGTGTTTGAATTCTGAAACAGGGTGCCCAGAGACATTGTGAGGTCTCCTTCCTTGAGATATTCAAAAGCTGTCAGGACACAGTTCTGAGTAATGTGCTCT